CAAATAGGGATCGTTTGGGGTAGCTAAGCGATCCAGGGATTTCTCTTGTATGTAATCACGTGACTAAGACTGGACCGCCAGCTCGACAGGCGAGTTGACGGCCTAGGGAGAACGAAGGTTCTATATAAGACTGGCACGTCTGCCATTAGATAGGAGCTTCGTGCTCAACTTAGTTATCAATCTTATCATATTAGTTTGACATCTTTGATACAAGTAACGAGTTCACTTCCAAGTGAACAACCCAATAGTCTTCTTCTTATCATAGCGTACCAAACAGCGAACACCCAGCCAAGTTTAGTTAGCCAGTTTGAGTATTCGTTACAAACTGCTATATTGAACGAACAACTAAGTGAGAGAAGAAGAGAGTTCCAGAGGAACGAGAGCCTAAATACAGGAGTCCAGTAGCACGCACGGGCCATGATACACGTGATCCGCCCCCAGTTCCTCCAACTCCGTAACAATAGTTTAATTATAAAAGTAAAAGTATATATCGGAGTCTAAATCGCTTAGTTTTAGTATAGTTAAGGCTCTAAAACTAACTAAAAACCTAGGCTAGACTTAACCGATACTATATGTCACGAATCACGTGTTAGCATGCGACGAGTTAGTCCAGACGGCGTTCTGACAGGACAGATACAACCAGAGTAGTTATACCATAGCAGTGGTTACTCAGGGTTGTTGAGTATCCAAGGATTTCATAGCATTCATAGTCACGTGATGGAAGCGCGACAGCGCGCACAAGCGAGCTGTCGCAGCACGTCGATCGAGTAGAACGACATTTGGAGAACGAAGCTCCTATCTAATGGCAGACGTGCCGGTCTTATATAGAACCTTCGTTCTCTCTACATCGCCTACATCACCTGTCGATGTAGTCGACCTCCTATCGCTAACATCGACTGTCGATACAGGCGATGCGATTGATCACGTGACTACATACACGAGAAATCCTTGGATCGCTTAGCTAGTCTAAGCATCCCTATTTGCTATAAGAAACCTGGATGTGCCTGTCGAGGGTTGCGCCTCTTTATTATGACAAGTATCACGTGAGCACGTGATTCGTGACATATAAGTAGTAATAGTTATAGAATAGTTATAACTTATAACTTATAGGATAATAATTAGCTACTATACTAATTATCCCTTAGAACGATTACTAAGTAAGAACGCTCCTAGAACGCTCCTAGAACAAAGTCTAATTACTAACGCTTATATAACGGTTATAAAAACCCCGGGTCCTCCTATAAGGTAGGAAGAAACTACTTAACTCGAGGACTACTTAGATTTACTTCGCAGCAATTTAAATATAAGTAGTAGATATAGTTACGTTAATTTAAGTATTAGATTTAACTACTCGAGCACTACTTATATAATTTGCTTAAAAAACTAAATTAGCAATAAAAACAATTGTTAATGAAACCCCCTACTTATTCGTTCTCTTTAAGAACCTATTACTTTTCTATAGAATATATTAGCCCTCTAGCTAAATCAACGCTCGCTAGAAGTACTTGTTACTAGATAACTAACACTTATATACTCGACCCGGACCACTCCGCAATACTTAAGTAGGACTCAACTCAACACGATTATTGAGCTAGTTGAGTGAAGGAGGTACCAGTACTCAACTTAACTCAACTCATTTCCCACGCTAAACTGTCATCCCAACAAGAATCACATAATAAACACACAATCGTATAGAAACAGAGCTTTTCATAGCTACCTACTGTATGTAACCTTCGACATTGAACTTCATATGTCCCCAGACATCAATGACTCCTGCCAGCCTTCCGATCGGTGTGCAGGTGTACTGATATGCCTGACCCGGCCCAATACGCCATTCCGCAAACAAAATGACTAGCTACAACCGAGAACTTTGCCCGCCCGTAATCAATCAAACCCACAACGCCGACATGGTGCGCGTTTCTGGTTTCTTATTCCCAGAATATCAAACTCCTTCACAGCCCCTCTAGATCACCACTTACGTTCGTATACACTCAATCCCCTCCAACGTCTTCATTGCCTTCGTCCCCTGGTTCTCAAAGGTACTGACCATCCTCTCACATTCTGTTTTCAGCTGATCCTCGGCTAGTTCGGCGTTGTATCTGATCCATTGTTCGACAGTCATTCCTTTCTCTACGCTACTCAGTTCCCCGCCTTTGGGTGGTACGGTACTGTCAGCCCCTACAAATACGGCGTCCATATCGATCGCAGTCCAGGGATTGGTGGATTGTAGGCCATTATTTGGTGGTTTGTTTTCTGCGTTCGAGGATCGTGGTGATTGGGATGGTGTATTAAATTCCTGTCGTGTAGGTTTAGGCTCGACTGGCGCTACTGGTTCATCCTCTTCTGGTGCGGGCGATATGGCCACGACAGGTGTATTATTTTGTTCTGGTGTGGGAGATCTAGCCATTTCTGGGCTATGTGTGTCTTGTGGTGTAGACGACCTAGCAATTACAGGCGTATAGGTCTTTTCTGGTACTGGAGAGGGAGAAGGTTCTAGCTCCGGCTCCGGCTCCGGCTCTGGCTCCAGTTCATGCTCCGATTCATGCTCGGGCTCAGGGGAGGGAGAGGGCTCTAACTCAAGTTCAGGCTCGGGTTCAGGAGTAGGGGTTCGTTCGATTGGTGATGCAACGACTCTGTTCTTCAAGTCAGTATATGATTTTCTGGACATTACGTAGAGTACTCTGCTACGTGGTTCAAGTGCAAAGAAATATGATTACTTACTTGCTTCTGGTATTGCGGCGCTTTTTGGCTGGAGGCTCTTCGAAAATATCACTTCGGCGCTTCTGACCTACGGCTAAAGACCCTACGGAGGATGCTGGAGAAGCAGCTGAAGCCGTAGTCATGCGCGACTGCCTGGCTTTGGAAGTTCTTTTGGTTTGTTTGCTGGGAGCGGGAATGGTGAAGAAGGTGCAACCGGGGGATCGTCTGTAGTGTTCATCACTTCTTGAATTAGCCCTGAAGCCATGATATGATGTGTACGCAATCCAGACTTACCGAGGAATATCTTTCTGCTCCCATCCATCGAGAGCTAGATGACAAAATGCACAAACTGCCATATCAGAGTCATCCACCGGCGCAAAATGCCATCCCGCCTCCGCAAGCTTGAAATTCGGCGCATTAGAATAATCTTTCTTGAGCAGCAACGGAAAAGCCTACCTGTTTGGTCTTGCATTTCCACCCCCTCTTTGCATCATGAGGCCATCTGTTTGCGAAGGTTGCCTTTCGAGCATCCAACATATCCTTACTAGATAGCTGTTCCTGACCGTAAACACCTTCGTTCACCTCAATTGTAGCAATTATCGCCCACGCGCATTCTGGAGAATGCTTCAAATGTTCTACTAGCGGATCGTCATCTTCTTCCCATCCATCTATCTGGCGGTGGCAGAGAAAACATGCGGTATTATCAGGACTTTCCGGAAGAGGGTGGTAGAAGAACCCGGCTTTGGCGAGCTATGCGCATGTAAGTATGAATACGTGGAAAATAACTGGTTTCGATGCGACGCGTCTTTCTGTAGGGCAATGAATAGAGGGGTAGGCAATTGTACGAACCTGTTCTGGAGCAAGACTTTTATGGGGCCAATTTAGTGATTTGCTCGCAGATTTTGCGCTTGCTTTTGACGCTCGTTTGGATGTTCGGCGTCCGGGGAGTGGATGTGAGACTTCAAAGGAAGATAATCGTTGATCAAGGGTGAAGAAGCCCGCTGCAATCTCTTCGATGGCCATTGTGGCGCCTGGCGCAATGAATTGAATTTAAATGTAGATTTAGGCGCTGCGAAGTGCGGTGGTTTGGTGGGTTGTGGGTACTGATCAAATTGATGTTTGTTGCTGGGTGGTGATAATGCGCTGTGGTGTTGATGCGATCCAATGTTTACTTTGAGGCTGAAAACGCGCAATACGGGGAGCGCGACCCCTTGCGCGGCGTCATCGTTCGGCAAAAAAGCGGCGCCGATCCGCCGAGCCGATCCGCCGATAACGGTACCGAGACCTGCAATATGGCTGACCTCAACCCTCCCCTTCGCTATAGAATATATCCGCCCGCAGTCTCCGCACTCTGTTTTGTTCATGAGATATTATGACAGGCTGGTTATTTTCGTCGCTCAACAGGCTTAATATATGCTATCTTATTTACTTATTCATTCGGTAGTCGTAATTGATGCTCCTCTGTACTCAGATGTCACGATACATTTTAAGAATTTGAATTGTTCTTCTTGAGCTACTATCAGTTGTAATAACGTTGGTGAATAATCTATTATACTTATGAAACTGTTATGATGGGTAATATTAATAACCATCGGTATACTGTGTTTTTTTTTTTTCATGTCTTAATCTAGCAGGTGCTCAAAGTGTAACGAATACTCAAACTGGCTAACTAAACTTGGCTGGGTGTTTGCTGGTTGGTATGCTATGATAAGAAGAAGACTATCGGGTTGTTCACTTGGAAGTGAACTCGTTACTTGTATCAAAGATGTCAAACTAATATGATAAGATTGATAACTAAGTTGAGCACGAAGCTCCTATCTAATGGCAGACGTGCCAGTCTTATATAGAACCTCTGTTCTCTGTTCTAACTGTTGGATCGCGGGGCTCGCTTGTCTACCGAGTCGACCCAGACGGCTGGACCGCTCGTCGCCTCCAGGCGACCCAACTTGTCACGTGATACTAACAAAAGGGAATCCCTGGATCGCTTAGCTAGCCCAAGCGATCCCATTTGCTATAAGAGCGTTCAATAGTGCTTGACTTGTCAGGACGCCGCCTGGTCTTCACTTCTCACGTGCCAACACGTGATTCGTGACACTGGGTTCCGCACCAAAATTCGCAATTGAACAAGAGGATGAACTCTATTGTTCGGCTCTAGTTGCTTAGCTTAAGCTCAAGCTTTAGCTTGAGAAGCATCTTATATACATTGTCTTTTGTCTAAGCGAGACAGGGGTTGATTGGCTCTCAGCGTTCGGGTTGATTAGCTCTTAGCGTTCTCGGAATGGACCCGAAAAAAACTGGTCAGGTGACCCGATTTTTTAGTAGGCGCGAAAGAATAGCCTGTATCGAGCGCAAATCGTATATAAATTGCTCGCACGTTCGTAGGAAGTTATATTAGTACCGAATTAGAAATCCGGCCTTTTTAGTACGTTGTTTACTTATAATTAGATTTAAAAGCAGTATTTAAAAGCGACTTACGGTTATGTTCGTAGATTTTTGTAGGGTTTTTACTACCTGACCGATATAAGGCACCAACTTTTCGACTTACTAGATAGAGTGTTGAAACTCCGGGTTAGGTAACTAGCCTGTCAACCTACTCTAATTAGTATATAAGAGTCTAGATAGCTTATATTCCCTAGCCCTTCTACCCCCTAAGCCCCCCCTCCCCCTCCCCTCTATAGAAAAAGAACTATAAAAAGAGAATAATTTAAGATATAGTCTTCTTAAGTAATTAAAAGCTTAATTAATCTTTTATATATAATTAATAAGTTAGTATTTAAATAGTTAAATTATTATTAGACTTAAAGTAGTTAATTATAATAACTTATTTACTTTTAATTTAGTTTAATTTTAATAACAATTAAGTTTTATTAGGTTATTAATTCGTTCTTTTAGAATTTAAATACTTTTATTTATTATATTATTATACGTTATACGTTATACGATTTTATACTATTACTATTATATGTGACGACACGTACGCAAGGCCCACGGTGTAGGTTGTGGAATCGTAGAACTGTCAATTAAACAAAGATTCTAAGCTGAGGAGAAGAGGAGAGCTCGAGAGAGCTTCGATCTAAATACTTGGTGTGGGTCGCTAAGCGAGACCACGTGATCCGAATGGTGGTGACGGTTAGAACCGTCACATTATATAACTTAATCATACCTTAATTAAAAGATATATAATAAGGTTTTAACTAAAAGATACTTAATAGAATCTTGGCTAAGAAATACCTTATAAGACCTTAATTAAAAGATACTTAATAATATCTTTATCAAATAATACTTAATAAGGTTTTAATTAAAAGATACTTAATAAGGTCTTAATTAAATAATACTTAATAAGGTCCTAATTTGAAGACACTTAATCGGGTCCTAATTTGAAGACACTTAATAAGGTAGAGACAGGCGGTAATGCGAGCTTGCGAGAATCGACTGACTCGTTGTAAGAATTGTTGGAAGTGAAATGCACTGAGACTATGGTCACAAGCCCTTGAATCTCCTGCGGATTTAAGAGGGAGAAGCATATTATGAAAAGATTCGCACAGGGAACAATTGAAACAAAAGATTTAGAGGTTTTCATAGGTGAATTCAAAAACTAGAATTGAGTTGCGTCAAGACTGCTACAAAAGTAAACAATTTCAAAACGCTGCAAGTAGTAACAATGCATTTCGTACTCGGTGGATTTTAAAATCTATTTATATTTAATTATTAAGAAATATTCTTGCGTCTTGAAATGCTGGCGCAGCTTCAAGCAAACTAAACTATAAACTATATACAAGAAAGAAAGTGTGTCGTTGACTCATTAAATCATTACCCATCAAGAGAATGAAACCGTCCATTATCCAATCCCAAAGAACAACAAAGAATCCCAACCTCCAATTAATGTCGAGCAGCCCGCTGGGCCATCTTAATCCTCTCAACCAAAAAGACCACAGCTTCCGGCACCCGCCTTCCGTAATGAAGATGAGCTGGCGTGATCATGTATATCCTCCCCTTGCAAGTCCAATCTCCATCGTTGCAAAGAATCAATGTCTTCGGAGGTGGAAAATTGGGAATAACTCCATCGTCTTGTGCGTTACGTGTATCTCCGAATGTAACAACTCCTACGATTTTAGCACTCACTAATGGACTTAGTGCTCCGATCGCGCCATGAACAATTGCTGCTCCTTGACTAAGAGTGGTGTCAATTATTTCGTACAAGAACATGAAAAGGGGAGAAAGATTTACCTGTAACCGCCAGCAACAATGATCGATTTCGGACATTTCACCGCCGCCTTCGTAATGATGTTCCTCATATTACTTATTCCCTCTGGATCTGCATTCCCCTTCCTTAGATTCGTCCTGATTTTAGCATCGTACTTGACTCCTTCAACTCCAACACGTTTCATTCCAAAAGCGCTTATCAAGCCGAGGGCGGTTCGTGAGCCGACTGAATCTGAGGCGCCCATGTTTCCTCCTTCGGTAGAACCTCGAGCGTAGACAAATATGATATCTTTGCAGCCGAATTTTGTGAAATCATTTCGGATTGAGGGTGTTCCAGCTGGGTGAGCTGGTTTGGAAGTGTGGGGTAATCTGATAGGTCCAATGGTTGTCGGCTCGTCTGGTGCCTTTGTGGCTTGGGGTATCTTTGTAATAGCAGGCGCCTTTACATTATTTTTCTCTTCTGCTGATACACGTACAGGCGTTGCTGGGGCATGTGGCTCCTCTGCTGGGATGTGTACGGGTGCTGCTGGAATATGTCCTTCATTTGCTGGTATATGTGGAGGTGCTACTGGATTATGTGCAGGTACTGCTGGTATATGTACAGATATGGTGGATATATGTGGATGTGGCGCTGGTGCATGGAAAGGCTTTGCTGGTTTATGTAAAAGTGCTGTTGTGGTGCGTAAAAATTCTGTTGGTAATTTGAAAAGCGCTGGTGGGAGAATGAGGGGTATAGCAAGCGACAGAGGTGTAGAGAGTGTAAGAAGAAGGCTGGGCTTCATGTCGTAGGATTTTCACATTAAGTTGCTTCGCTAAAAGAACGAATAAGCAACGAGTAGCTAAGACAGCATGAGGGTTTAAACAAATGTATAAATTATTATGCACAACATAGAGAGACAAGCTCAAATCCCAAAAGCATTTCTCGTGCAACGATGTCTTCCCAGAACCCTTTTGTAGATTTGTAGAATTCTTGCGTTAAATGAGGTGTTTCTTGTTTCCCCTCAAAGCCCCATTCAAATGGTCGCCAAGTTATGATTTGCAATGTGTGGGACTCGGTGTCTCCGATCAAACAACCTTAGGTCCGAATGCTCGTATTTGATTATATTCTTTAAATCAATCTATATTGTTAACGTATATGAATATTGAGAACAATACAAACCAGTGTCGTATTCCCCCTCTCATGCTCAAAAGTCACAATTCAGAGTGTCAATTTTCATCTTTCTTACTCCGTACATGGCAGCGTAGACTCTATGTACCAATGCTCTGTCTCGGTATGCCAAGGGAAGTCAGGACCCATAAATTTGGACTATGGGGCGTGATCTGATGCACACCCACAGGTTCCGACAGAGAGGTCCCTGTTTTTTCTTCTCAAAGGGGAAGGGGCTTGGATGCTTAAATCTCGGGACGGGACCTTTTTCGACCAAAAAGCTTGAGTTCGTAGTACCGTCAAACTTCGATACTACAAAGTCCTTGGTAGGATACTGGGCTGAGTCGCTTTTGGAAGGAGATAACCGAGGTTGCAGTACGGTATCATCATATCGAGTATCCTAGTAACCAGGTTTAGCTGTAATCTTACACCATCAGAAGATTTCGTTGCGAAAACTCGTTACCACCCAGATAGTTGCAGTTCATGGCTAACCCAGGTTTCCGTAATGTTTTTGCCTTGGCATGTCTTCTAGCAGGTGAGCTCGGAAAAGGTGGTGATCATTGTTCCGAGCACGAACCGCTTTACCAGATTGCTATTTCTGAACCGCATGTATGGTACCTGCCTTAGACAGAGTTGCACGACATATTGTGGAAGATTCAATAAAGCCGAAAAACACTGGAGTCCCTTGGAGCCTGCATAGCAGAGATTCCAACACAAAAAGTGCCAATTTTCCTCATAAGTCAACATAAGACGAGGAGCAGAGTTAGGCTTGAGGAAGAGGTTAAGGCACATCGCGCTAACATCCATCACAGATGGAACTTTTCCGCATGAGGACTTGTTGGTTTCCTTTTCTGCGCAACTGCAACCGGAGCTTGAAGCTCACTATTTGCAACTTGGCTCATTAATAAAAACCAATTATTTCTTCACATTTGCTATACAACTATCTCGGCGGCTGGTAACTGGACTAGTGAGAGCGCCATGGTATCAGCAACACCAGCTTTTAGTAGAGTTTCGACAAGCGAGACTCAGAAACCCGATTCTTGCCCGTTCTCAACCCTCTGGAGCTGGAACAGAGTCATTTTCAATAAAATTTATGTGAGCACAGTGGTGTACCAAGCTTACCTTATATCAGCAGAATAGTATTCTACATTGGAATGCCTACCATAATATCTGAGCATAATGAACTGCGAATATGTTTCTACGTTTATAGGTATCTCTCCACAGGTATGTCAAAGCAAGTAAAAATAACTAAAAAATAACGGTTCAAATTATTGCTCATTAGAATTTCAAACCTCTAAATTAGGTTCACTCTCCACAAAGGATCGTTCCATCAAGAGTTTTCCAAAACCATTAAAAATTAGAACCGATCATGTGCAACCATCCTAAACCTTTGCCAGAACAAAAATGAAATCAAATCAAAAGGCCCATGAACAATCCTGCGAAACTCATCATAAGCGAGGAAGCGACCAATGTGCCAGCACTAGAAGCTTGTGTCGAAATAGGCGAAGGTCCCGAGCTTGAATTAGCCGAGGGAGAACTAGGGGTGGCGATTGCAACTGAAGGATTGCTCAAGGATGTCGTTCCATTTGAACCTCTGGCAGCAGCAGAAGGTGTAACGGATGGGTGGATCATGGCCGGCACGCTTGTTGGCGCGGAAGCCACTCTAATTGCCTCAAACTTTTCAATGGAAGTAACATAAGGGACAATCCGATTAACGATTGGGATTTCGAGGTACGCGAATGAATAAGGGTCCCTAAGCGATAATGTACGTGGGAAATTGCGAACCATGAGTTCTCGTCCAGGATCTGGAAGTGTAGTTGGCGTAGAATTTTCGCCAAGCGGGTACACAACGACGTGTTGAATGACTTCAAAGGTTTGGACAATTGGAATGGCGTATTCTGGTGGACAATAGTAACCAGGAATAGTCGTCATGCAAGAGGTGATGGAAATCGCCTCTGGTGTGTAAATGGTACTGGTAATGGCTTGTGTTGGTTCAGGAGTAGACGAAGGAGGTTGACTGGATAGTGCCCCAGACGTAGCTGTTGGCTTTACGTCTTCCTGAATGGGAGTCGAGCGTGCTCCTGCTCTCGCAGAGAGAACAGGAGCAGGAGTAGGCTCAATCTCAGCATACACGGCCCGCTTCAATGATGTCTTGACGCATTCATCAGCAATGTTGACGGTGTAGAAGGTTACGTAAAGCGATGGGCCTGAGTCGAACTTTATTTTGTTGCCAATTTCAAGTGACGCTGAAACAAAAATTCCAACGTCGCCAAAGACCTTCTGTTTGAGTTCCACTTCACATGGTGCTTTTTCGTCAAACACAAATTGGCCCGTGTGAGCGACGGGGTCAATAAAGGCACCCATCGCAAATCCGATTCCTTTTCCCCGACTCCCACGTCAAATCCAGCCTTGAGTGTAGCGCGTAACAGGACAGCGTAACCAACAGGACCACTTGTGAACTGGAAAGGAATATCTTTAAGTATAGATCCTCCTCTAGTCACGTCAACTTGTCAGCTTGTGTTCCACATTCTTTCAACCACTTCTGGGAGACAGGAGTCATGAGTTTACTTACGACCACAATTCTATCATTTCGCCGCCAACGACATCGATGATATAATTGAGACCATTAGGAAATTTGATATCGAATCCCCCCTGGAAGTTAATAGCCGCACTCCCGTGAAATATCAAGTCCAATGACAATTCTAAGTCAACCTCGACAACCAAATTTTTCTTCATACCTGGGATTTTGGATTTTGGGAATTTCCCTCCCCAAATTGGGATGACATAAAGCCCACCAACGGCAAATGTGATCTTGAGTTCAATATGCACGCTAAGATCCTTAAAACTGACTACTAAAGGTATATCAATCACGTCCTTCATGTCACCAATAGTAGTCGTGAAGAGATCTTTTAAATCCACCTCTCCAATTTTCAATCCGTCAGTACTGAGATTGACGGAGCCAGAGATAGAGCAGGAGACGCAGGCAACATTTATTTGAAAGGTGACTCCTGTTGTTGGGTCAAATTTGTTATCTTCGCCCTCCTTTTTTTGGCCCGTAGCATCTACATAGCTAGATAGAAAATTAGCTTCATGTCAACAAAATGTGGGACGAATAGTAACATGCGTACATGTCAAGCATAACTTTGTCCTTTGGGATTTCAGTATTCAAATCAAAGGTTCCCAGATGATCTGATCTTTTTTCAAGGCGGACAACATCATCACCAACATCAATTGCTGCGTCAGTATCGATGGATCTTTCTTCTGGTTTCTCTAACAGAGTGGCCTTGGTAACAATGTATGGATCCATCTGTGGAGCCACATGTCGCTCAACGACCAGAGATATGACAGAAACGACATATGCCGCAAGACAGAGCCGGGTAGCAAATCTCATCTTGAAATAAAGACAAGGCGAATGGGTTCAGATTTGAAGAAACAAGGGCATGGGAGGAAATGAGAAAGACAGCAGTGTTCTCAATGAGAAGTGTTTGAGCAGAATTTGATCAAAATTTGGTTTGCAATATGAATCAGGGTATGGTTTGAGTTGTGGTTGGAAGGGAGATCCAAGGTTAGGTTTATTATAGATACTGGCTCGAGGAGATCAAGAATAAGCGACGCTCTTGGCAAGTAAGGCAGGGCAAGAGAGCATCCAAACATCATTTCATTTCCTTTCACAGCCACAATCAGAAATTGTTTGGTGAATTAATTAACGGTGAATATGATTCTGATTTACTTTGAGATGCAGAAAAATTAGGTGTTTCAACACTTTAAAGATATAGGGTCATTGAATCAGCTATTCATGAGGCAGCATTACAGCTTTGAAGGCACTTCGCTTGATCCATATCCTTTTATTTCTCTTTCATTTTGTAAGGATTGGTGTTTATAGGGGAATCTTGTACTTCAGCCTTCCTCTATTGCTACTTGATATTCACGAAGTTGAGACTTCACTGTCAAGACTGCTTGCCCACACCTCTCACCAATCCAAGAATGCAGAAACATCTGAAACACTTAAACGTCATGTTCAATAGAGAATGAGGATACCAGTAAGGAAGTGGTAAACCTTTTGTGTCTCATGAATAGAACAGCCATCTGGAAAGTCCAACAGTCAATTAGTGTAGAAGCCTGCAAGATGAGCTCATAACCCTTCAGCATTGCTGGCTCTACTAGATGAAAATTATTCACATAGCCTCATAGGTCGCTCTGATGTGGAATTGTTTACCTTTACCTAAACGTCAGCAGTTTCAATTAGGCAAAGAACTGGAAAATTCTTTGACGCTGAAATGCACATGGCAAAACTCATTTAAACTATAATTTTCTCAGTCTGAAGCAATATGCACATAGGCACAGAAAGTGACTCCCTATTAGCGTTCTAAGTCATTTTGAAAGCACAATTGGTATTGTTGAGATAGATATCGTGACTACAAAATGTAGGTGCCACTGACCTACTCTTAGGTAACGTACATTCCTTTAGTGTTGCTCGTAGGCACACGACACTTAACTACTCGCTACAGCTCGCCTTAGGCAAGATTGGCTCGCTTGCAAAACTGAGACAATAGTAATTTCAAAAATGAAATTTCGTGACGTAAGTGTAAGTCTATTCGCAATCAATCGATCAGATAATTGGTAAGTAAAATGTTCTATGAGCTCAAGATAGAGGGATCACGATATCATGGATATGAGTACATATTACGTCTTGTGACCTTAATCTCCTGGGCTGGAGAAAAGTGGTGTTGGGGTTTCAAAAGAGTATTGGATGGGTAGTTCTGGTATAATCAGGTAATTGTTACGATGTATACCGCCCTCTGGGAACTCGGTGTCAGATATTTCCTAACACTATACAGAAATTCCTAACACCGTCCTCATTAGGTACTAAAAAGTAGGGATTTAAGGACAGAGGGGTACTCTAGAGACTATTATACTTCTAGGAGAGTTTAAGTGTAACCTAAGCGTTCCGTAAGCTATCCATCTATATTATAGAGCCTTTCCTCCTCTCTTTACCTTTTTAAACTACTTATAAGTACTTAGTTGTTTTCATCTATCCCTCTCCCTACTTATAAGTACTTAGTTGTTTTTATCTATCTCTCTCTCTACCTATAAGTACTTTTCTACTTTGCTCTCCTGTAAGTCTCTACTTCTATTATACCCCTATACGCACCCCCTCTCTCCCCCTCCCCTACCTATAAATAAGTAAACGCGTAAATAAGACTTAAGTAAAGAACTGCACCTTTGGTACGAATTAAGGTTTAACGGCCACCGTTGGTGTCAGGAAAAGTACGCGTTAGGGAAGGGTTTGTACCCTAGGATAGCCCGCGCCGGTGTCAGGTATTTCCTGACGCAGTTCCCAGAGGGACCACACTCTGTACGCAGGCCTGTCAATATTATGTATGTAAGATACCTCAATCACTCACACGACAACTTCTACACCTTTCCTTTGGATCACAGCCTGATTATCATACACATTGTGACTTGATTACTTGCTATTTGTGTTTTCATCTCTTTATATCTCCATAACAACAGGAATGGATACTATACCCATAGAAACAAGTTCAAATGTGTTCGCCCAAAAACACATCCGCCCATTTGATGTGCACTACCCCAACACACAAAGTCAAAGTGCACAGCAAATTACTGCTCACCGACCCAACAAGATACCATACCCAGCCCTGGACCAGATCCCAAAGTCGTAGCCTACATCACCGCAGAAATAAGCTCTCGCCACGAACTTCGCATCACTGAATTAGATCAAACGAACTAATGACGCATACAAATAAACCAGCGAGCCGGAGAGTATACTCCATAGGTTGAGAGATTGGCGATGGAGATCTTGGGATGAGGTGTTGGGGAAATTACATGATGTCAATGGTAAGCGAGGGGGTTGTTGGTGAATATCAAGTATTAGATAATAAAATGTGGGCTAGCTACTAGCAGCTAGCTTATGTAAGGATGGAATTTATACGGTAGAGGGATGAGGTGAGGAAGGGAAGGAGTGACGAATGACTGGGGATTTTTTGGGATGTTGGGTAAGATGTAAGATTGCCTGGCAAAAGACACAGGATACCGTACCGAGATGTGAAATTAACTGAAATCTGTTAAACCCACCAAACTAGTCATTTCAGAGCCTGTGAAAGACAACCCACGATAAGGAACCAATGGAACCACTGGCTCTCAAGCGCTTATTATGAAAACGGTGCGGACAGTAAAATAGGTCGTCAGTATACCTATCAGGGTCTACGCTGGTTCTAGCCAGAATAAAAACCCACAGACTGTTAAAACTGCAGCAATTGCGAAGCCACGACAAAGAACTCAACGCCCCAAGGAAACGATACTACCCTTATCTTCCCGAGAAAAGTGTGTATTCTAAAACGAACGTATCCATCTATCAATACAAAAAGCAACCCCAGCAGCCACGAAAAAACGAGGGATCCCACACCCCATCCCCAACCCATCTATCAATACAAAAGAAAAGCCAGCAAAAGTGGTAGCATGTAATAAATAAGCAAGTAAGCAAATAAAATACCACACGAACAAAAGTTGCCCGCCTCCATTTCCTGAAAGGCCCCCGAAGAAATCCTCTATTCGCACATGAGTATCATAGCAAACCTCGAATAAAATAGAACGAATAAGAGTAATGATTGAAAAAGAAATTAAACAGTGTATCTGTAAAAGATAGCGTCATCCCCCTTCTCCCTCTCTTCCTGCTTCATGGTTATCGTGAAATCCTCTGTCGAAGAACACTGTTCTTCGAGAAGTGCATCTCGACGACTGTTCTCGTAGCGGAGGTAGCTGGTCATGAAAGCGGTCAAGAAGAGGGACATGGTGACGAGACCCAGAAGGATAGCGTGGCCCCGGATGAACCTGAATTCATCAGTATGGTTGGTATACGTTGAGAAAAGCGAAGGAAAATATGCATACCTGGGGGCATCGCGATTTTGATAGACGTATGCAGAGATCACACCACCAAGATTACCAAATCCGATTTGCATGGCGATACCAACAGCTCGTTTCAAAGTCCCGCCTATGTTGTTGGCAGTCCAAGCTCCGATTAACGGAACTAGAGAAAAGATGCCTTCAGTTTGTTAGCGGCTGAAACTCGAGGGGAAATTTACAAGGGGAATTCTTTTACCAGAAGTTGCTAAGAAAGTCCCTGCATACTGGATATGCGGAACGTCCGTGGCAAGTAACAAGGACAATCCAGTAATAGCCGTCAGTTGAAAGCCGATCAAGAATATTCCTCGTTGGCCCGCCTTGTCAGCGCACCAGTTGCCAACCAAGGTGCAGAAACAGGCTGTGACATACGGCGGGACTGTCATGAGTTGAGCTGTGTTGTTCGAGTACCCCAGATTTTTAATGATTGTTGGCATAAATAAAGAAATTGAGTAGAGCGGGGTAAAGATGCCGACTGTTAGCACGCAATTAACCCATATCTTCCAGTCTTTAAATGCCTGGTAAATGTATTTCTTGTCAAATTCTTCAGAAAGCGAACTGCAGTCACTCTTCAGTCTTCTCTCGACTTCAGCTTTCTCTACGGGCGAGAGAAACCGGGCACTGAGAAACATTAGATAGGTAGTGAAAAACGCAGAGACCAACACTTACGTCGCAGGTGAATCATGAATGAACCAATAAGCACTGCTCGCCACGCATAACGAAAGAAGTCCTTCAAGGATGAAAATCCATCGCCAGCCGTTGTAACCGCCAATACCCTCCATTGAAGATATCCCACGTGCTAGGAGTCCTCCAAATGCACCTGCCGCAGTAGCTGCCGAGAAAAATAGAGCCATTCGAAATCCACATTCATGTCTCTTATACCAGATGGTGATGAGATACGTGACGCCAGGATATAAACCCCCTTCCGCAAAACCAAGCAATGACCTGCATATTAAGAGCTCGCTATATTTTCTAACAAAACCCATGGATATCATTATGGCAGACCATGTGACCATAATAATCGTGAACCATGTACTTGGTCGGAATCTCTTGAGTATGATGTTGCTAGGGATTTCGGCCAGAACGTAGAAAGGGAAAAGTATAGCAAGCGCGTGGTTGTATTTCAGGCCGCTCATCTTGAGGTCTTCTTCCATTTTTGCCAGTTTCGCATTTCCAACATTCGTACGGTCGAGGAAGCAAAGCCTAACAGAGATTGTGAGGTTTCAAGCTAGAAAGACATGTCAAAATTATCTTACAAGTATATAAGGGCAAGGAATGGTATCAGATGAAGATCCATTTTCCGAACAAGCTTCTTCGTTGCTGCCGCATCGTATGGTACGTCAAACTGGGTTGGGCATATCGTCGAGCTGGTCAATTGTTCCACATCATTCCCTTGGTAACCCGCTCTAGTCAAGTCAAGATGCGACGGAGCTTTCTTGGCTTGTTGTGGATCCATCTTAAATCGCTTCGAGGTGGTTTGGGAATAGCGGGGTGAAGCTCGTGAGATAATCTTCTCCAACGAAGTCCCAGCTCGTCTTATAGGTATAAGAACATTAGGAGGGTTTGGTACATTGTACTTGGGACTGGCATCCAGGATGTGATGTTTGCGCCGAGGAAGAGTCCCAAGTATTACTGTGACAGGAGATTGACCATGTCAAAGACTTCTCGAGTCACTTGTGCTTGCCCAACTCCGAATCTACAATCAACAGCAGCAGGCATGATCGCAAGCTGCCGTTTGCTATAGCCAAACGGATTATCCGGCCTCTAAGATGCGGCAAAAATCAGAAGAGAGGTTCTTCTGTGGCACTGCTGATGACGATCTACCTCGTCGCCTCCCCGATAAAGCAATATGGTCTCTATTGGAGTCAAACGTTTCTGCAAAAAACCCAATGGAGACACAACAGTTCCACAGCGGTTTCACGACATGCGCCATGCACCAAACCATGCTAGAGATGAAAGGGGTTCGCAGAAGGCAACTGAGACTTCTTCCTATGATTTCTCGCCAATGAAGGAGGAGATTTGGGGATGTTCGCCTCTGCGAGTCCTGTGCAATTTGAGCTGTCAAACGCAGCAGGAATCCATCGTCTGACCTTGGCGGCACGCGACAGCCAAGAAAAACAAGCTCGAAGAATCGACAGAATCCAAAAGAGGATCGGGGAGAGTCTAGAAGGAGTAGCCTCGGATCAACTTCGATCAACTTTGTTATAGTCGTGGTACGAAAAAGGTTCAAGGTGGCTGAAAGGGGCAATTCTCGTGATTGCCCCTGACTAAGACTTGTGAAGCTATTCACAAATCTGTGGCACCGTCTCTTTTCGCCCTCACCGCTCGCTCGCTTGCCATATCCCTCTCTCCTTCTCTCACGCATGGAAAGCTGCTGGCGTGACTTCCGCCAAGTAGGCTGATTACATACTCCACGGATGGGCCGAGACGTTTATATAAAAGGTCTTGAAGCAAAGCGGTTGGAGATCATAGATTCTGCCTCTTCCCGTTCCCGATCGAGGATGTATCATGCATGCACTCCAGATTCTCCACAGCTGCAACCCAGAATCCGTCGCAATGGGGTGGGGGGTCTCTCCTGCAATCATGCTTAAGCTTGCATTTGATGCTACTTCGTATGAGGCGTCTGCATGCTGGTGCTGGTGATGCAGGCCTGGATGGTTCGGACGATTAGTAGGAGAATAAAAATCAAGGGGCGCAGCGTAAAATTTCCAATAGTCTACGGCTACGGACTTTTGCAGTCGACGGATACGCGTAGGTGGTGTTGGGAGGTTCAAAGTTGCTGCGAAAAGGAGAGTCGCATATAAAATCTGCAAGCTACCAGGGCTAGACCTCGCTAGTCCGCATTGGGAATATCTCTTGGCAATTGCCGTCACGTCCACGTCCACGTCCAACCGAGAAACCCCACGCGAAAGGTGGAGAGAAAGTCTGAAAGTCAACAACACCACCAATCCACCCAATTCATGCTGCATTCTCTGCATAGATTGTTGCACTATGGCGCTCCCTTTGCCGTCGGGTCTGGCCCCCGCAGAGGTTGCCTTTTTGTGTGAGATGGAATTGGTGACGGTGGTGCCTCGTCAGCAGCTGAAGAGCCATGAGTTGCTTGGGGTAAGTTTTGTTGGTACCAATACCAGGACCCCGCCATAGCAACCTTGAACCCCTCCACCTCCACACACCGCAGCATCATGTCTCGCTCGAGTACATCGGCACCTGAGCACAACATACCCGCCTCCTACAAAAAACTGCTGGCCTCTCACCCACTGTCTGTGGTCCAAAGCTGATTCATTGAATTTCAGGGTCCAACTCCAGCTCTACGTCCACCCCATCGCGCTCCTCTTCCTCTTTGGCTGGCTCTCCTTTTGAAGCGTCAACGGCGAGCCAATATCCTGCCTCCACCTTGGTTACTTCCTCAGTCCCTGGAGAAAATTCTGAAATACGAGACGGACACTCCATCGGTCTTTTCCCCTCCACCACCTCATCCGTATCCGATTGGAGCACTTCCTGCAGACACCGACCACATCTCACCTCCTTTTTTATCCTCGAGTACGGCCGATGCGCCTGCAGGCTATCTCCCATACCATTGGTTAGAACTGGGAGAGATTCTTCTGGAAGCGTGTAGTGATGATATACCCGAAGCGGATAAAGTGAGGACTTTGCTGCGAGATTTACGTGAAGTTCGTATATCAAAGATAAGGGAAGTCACAAAAGTACTCGAAGGAGGTGGGGTGGTCTCACTGAAAGGTGTTGGTGCAATGGAAGTAGCTGAAGGGCGACAGTTCACAGTTGGAGTCATGGATGGTCTGCGAAAACTTGGGGCCAGCAGAGAAACAGAAAGACGAAGACGACAAGAAGACGGGGAATCGGGTGGTGGACGCAGTGATGACGACGAAATGGAAATGGAAATGGAGTAATGATTCTGGACTTCCGTGCAAGGACTGCATACATCGGGATAATAGGCGCCGGAGTTGGGACGAGGACCATTATTTCCTCTATTTTGAACTTCACATACAATTTGGTTGTCTGCATACACACCTGTTACATTAATTGCGTGCTCGATGTTACGCGACTTTGATCTACAATCTGCCGAGGGTACCACGAAGTATCAATGGTTACAAGCGTATGGGTGTCCTACAGATTGGGCCACGCTAACTGCAAGCACAGGAATCTCATCCGGTTGATCCGGTTGATTATTTTTATGAATCAAGCTTCCCTTGTGGGCCCGCAAATATTTCTCCTCTGCTGTGGTTAGAGCCAGGATGGAAACTCCGAGAGCACTGAAATTTTCCTACTGGGACGAGAACCTTGAATCGTTCTACTTCACAACCACCATTGTACTTTGTCAAAGCTGATTGATTAGCTTACACCATATACCATACTACTGTTATCTAGGCTCGTCACCCACTGCAGATCTGCCCATCTGTATTTCGCTCACATGTCAAATATTCAGCCGGTCAAATGCCAGCTGGAAAAGAACGAAGCGAAGAAGACCAAAATGTTTTGAGCCCGTGCATGTACGTACGACGCTGAAAGCTTATGTTACCCCGTGCTCGGTGTACTCGAGATTAGCGAAGCACGAGTCCGCTGAAGGTCCTTCAGCAGTCTCTTCATCCTTGCCATACGGTGATCAAATCTTTGAACCCGAAATTCGTGTATCGTCGTGACTTTATTGTGTCTTATGTCTTTTGTTCTTTGTTGGATTGATATGAGTGATTATATGTCATTGGATGATTTCGGAACTTTCTGATTTTTAGGTGTTGTTGAGTCAGATGTCACTGTGTGGTGCGATGTGGGGGAGTGGGATGTACGGGAGTACAGTGTTGTGGTGTTTGGGGACTGGTTGGGGACTGGGTAATGTCCTTGCCCTCTCTTAGTAGCCACGGTGGATGATTTGCTGACTATGGGATGCTTTTGAACTCACATTCTACAAACCGTAGTTGATGTTTCGTTCCAGTAGAGCTGATAATGGATTTATCATCTGAAGGAATTCCGACTTATTGCTAAGACCCTTACTCTCTTTTCCTCCCGTTTCAAGGATCGGAAGAGCATCAGTCTTGAATTGACAATCGTGTAGTCTTCATCAGTGTTTGAAAGGACTACTCAACAACTCGAGTACTACTCAGAATCACTCGAGTGGAGTTAAGTCGAATATGAGTAGTGGATTTGATTGAGCTGAGTAGTAAATTCGACTACTCGAGTAGTACTCAAGTAGTTTACCATAAATAGTTACTAAAGTATCTGACAAAACAGTTGTTCTGCGATGTCTTTTCGTAGTATATCCTCGTCCTTATCTATTCAAAAACCCTAGCTTTGCAAGCTTGTTATTGCCTTGACGTTCTCTTCTAAGAGCCTATTTCTGTTCCGTGAAAAAAAAAACCGATCATTAGACCCCTAGCTAAATCGGAGCGGTCGGACAGGCCGCCCGACGCTCGGCCCCGCCTACTCTGGATTTCGTACTACTCAAGTAGTAAGTCTTACTCAACTCAACTCAAGCCGTTTCAAACGCTGGTCTTCATAGGTGCTGTCCAATACTAGTGTCTGATTACCATACCTGTATATCGAGAGGACAAGATAGCAGCTACTGCTTGAAATGTAAAATCGACCGATAGAATCTCAGGAGATCTTCTTTGGTCAGCGTGGTCTTTTGCACGCTGATGGTGGATGTAGGGAAATCTTTTGACGTCTGAATACAGTATGAGCAAATGGTATGAAAATGGATATCTAATAAAATCACGTAGCCAGCCTCTTGTCTATTTCATTTACAAGTTTTGGAATTTGTTTGTAATGCGAATCTTGTGAGCAAGATATGTGGTCACTTCATCGCTTCCACAGTTATACGAGATTTTGCGGCACACTGCTGTTAGATTTAAAACTCGTTGCCCAGGTCAAGTCAAGTACTACAATTCAACCATCTGGTTGAGTGGCACGTGGGTAGGTAGCTAAATCGAATTAGTCAAAACAATAACAAGCCGTCGGGTAAACATCGGCGCTATGAAAATTCGCTTGGTGGAAAGGGGCGTTTGATGTTTTCAAGAGGAAGGACGACGATGTATGGAGTATGTATGAACAATCGCAGAGCTTGTCATCATTTCAGATTGATGATGGGTGGGTGCAGAAAGGATGTTGATCCTCTCCCTCCACCCTAGCCCCAAGGTGGAGGAAGAGGTAGTGGTGGGCAGTTGTGTGAACTCGAGGTGTTTGAGAGAGAATCTTTGGAGGTATTTTGAAAGGCTAGAAGAAGATGTTAAACGCTCTACAATCAGAGGCTTTGAATTTAGACATCTTGGCGTGTTTGTTCATGAAAGCACGTGAGGAGTATATCGAGGCAGTATTCACCAGGAGAACGGATTCGATAGTCTGAGATGATCTGTATAAGATCTGCATGAGTAACAAACTCGGTAATGTGGCGTTGAATCTGACTAGGAGCCCCTGTTTTTATATTGCAAATGACAGGTCCATCTACGAGTAAACATTACTGCTCATTGGCGAGCGTATATTCAGACTATTGATGCTTCTTGGAATATTGCTACTATAGGTCTGACTAACTAATCGGGAACACTCAATGTTATATACCCAAAAGCTTGCAAAAGAGAGTAAGCACCATGATAGTTAAGTGATTTGGGCCACGGGTTAGAGTTACTGGCTAGCAATGATCAAGTAAAACAGCTCCTGGTTATAGAAAGATATCTCTACAACCTCACGACGCCTGCATCCGGAAATCCCCAAATCCCCCACTTTATCAATATGGAACTAGTGTTTGAGAACTTGTTTCCCCCACTTACCCATTAAGAAGTTAAATTCACCGAGTTCTTAAAACGTAACCAAAAGTAGTTATACTTAGATAAGCGAAAGTCTAATTCTGAATTCTAGTATATTTTGCCGAAGTGGAAGAGCTAGGTTAGGAATATGGGTTATAAGCAAGGTAGGTAATTAAAGCTTTATACACGCTTAGATTTAGACAAATATAAGTCTTCTATAACGCTAGTTTTTAGTATAACTTATAACATATACGAGTATAAAGAAATAAAAGTTTAACTATTATTCTATAACTTATATAAATAGTTTAGAATAACTAATACTTTTTACTCCTTATTAAGCTAGGTAAAATTAGATAATTAATAGAGTTATACTAGAATCTTAGTATAATAACTTTTAATAGCGTATATAGAGTAATAATTAGGTTTCTTATATTCTTATAAGAAGAATAAAACGTAGAATGGGTCTTAAAATCGTTCTAAGAAGTAGCTATAGGGAGTTTTTATAGATTAGGCGAGTAATAGAAGGGTAAATAGGAAATAGCTTTGAAAATATGTGACGGTTCTAACCGTCACCACCATTCGGATCACGTGGTCTCGCTTAGCGACCCACACCAAGTATTTAGATCGAAGCTCTCTCGAGCTCTCCTCTTCTCCTCAGCTTAGAATCTTTGTTTAATTGACAGTTCTACGATTCCACAACCTACACCGTGGGCCTTGCGTACGTGTCGTCACAAAATATATCCTACTTTTTTATATACTAATAATTAAATATACTTTTACAAGTTTAGCTCTAAAATCCCGAGTCTTTTAGAGTATATATGTAACGAATACTCAAACTGGCTAACTAAACTTGGCTGGGTGTTCGCTGGTTGGTATGCTATGATAAGAAGAAGACTATCGGGTTGTTCACTTGGAAGTGAACTCGTTACTTGTATCAAAGATGTCAAACTAATATGATAAGATTGATAACTAAGTTGAGCACGAAGCTCCTATCTAATGGCAGACGTGCCAGTCTTATATAGAACTTCCGTCCTTTTGTTCCAACAGTTGGATCGCTAGAGTCGCTCGTCTACCGAGTCGACCCAGGCGACTGGAGCGCTCGTCGCTCCAGGCGACCCAACTGTCACGTGATTATAACCAAAGGAAATCCCTGGATCGCTGAGCTAGCCTAGCCGATCCCTATTTGCTATAAGTCTACGGATGTGCTTGACCTGTCAGGGCGCCGCCTGGTCTTCACTCTTCACGTGTTAACACGTGATTCGTGACAATATAGTAGTACTAAAATAAGTATAGAAAGATTAATATAAAGGTATCGATTTTAGATTCTTACTCTCTAATTAGTTGTAATTATAAAATACTAATCCTATAAACTTTTAGAACTATATATAATAACTTAACTTATAACTTACGTATATTATCTTAATAAGGAATATTATTTTATAATCTAATTAATGTAAACGTGTGGAGTAAACCACTACTTGCTGTGATAAGATACGGAGTCAAGTGTAAACTGCTATATTGAGCGAATAACAAAGTAAGGGAAGAAGAGAGTTCCAGTGGAACGGAAGCTTATACACAAGATTTGAGCAACACGCACGTGCCGTGCTATACGTGATCTATCCCTTGTCCCTCCAACTCCGTAACAATTAATACTATAGTAGATTTCCCTTTTGTTAGTATAGAGATATAATATCATCGATACCGAGGAAGGGAAAAACAAAGGGTTAAAAACAGTATTTCCAATAATCGGATTGTATTGTCTGTCTCTGTCGGATCCAGGCATATGGATATAGAGGTAGCCCGTAGATTACCACGTGTTTAGTCACGTGAATCTGTTGCGACACCTTTCCACCATTCCCAATATGCGTGCCTATATCTTATTATATCTTCTGGCTTCTAGGAGAGAAATTCCACAATCCTCGCGCTATATTTATAATGGTCCCTATAAAAAATGGTACACAAGTACAGTACGTCTCGAATATAACATCATCAGCCATGAAATATACCTAGGCTTTGCCGTCCGTAATCAATTTTCATTGGAATAGTCTAATACGTTCTAACATTGATTTTTCCATAGTTCGCCAATAAGGCAATTTTCCAATTTCTTCCGGACATAATCTCGGTTTCTTAAATAATGTATTATTTTTTGTCTTGATGCCCATTGGTTCGTTCGTACTAATGGTTTAGGCTTGTTCGCATCGCTTCCACGTATCGCACCCTAGATTTCGCTAGAATAACATTTTAATGTCGCATCCATTTAGGACAATATAATAGTTAGTTGAAGGATAAAAGTTCTGCCTAACATCTATGTTGTTCCCTCCGATAGAAGCAGCGATATATGTGTTAAGGTGTAGAAGTGCCATGTGCGCGCTTGCGGCTTAATCAACACCGCCCACTTTACGCCTGCCCGCATTGCATTTCAATAGAGCATGCTTTTAGCTGAGGATACAATTTAATACCGCCGATGACTCTGTTCCTTTAGCATGTCTTTTCGACCAGTGAAAGTAGCGCTGCGTGAAATTTAGTTAGTGACTTAGCTTGGTCGCCTACTAGCACAAATGCCATCATAATATAGTGCCAGATCCTAAACTGGCCGGCAACCCTCGGCGGCTCTTAGCTAGAATCTACAAAAACTCCACCTTGTATTCCTCCTGAAGCTCGGAAAAACCAAAAGAACAAGAAAGAAAACAGATGACATGTTCCCCAAAATCGAAAATCTAAGTCTGAAAAACCAGAAAAGAATACTTGTTGGTTTAATATCGCTACATAGTGTATACGCGTTGGATTTATTGAACCAGTATGTTTCTGCTCGCCGTGTATTGAAGAAATGAAGTGTTGCTAATGGTTGTATCTAGGTATCGAAAATACCGGAGTTTTACGGCGGAGTTTGAGAGGAGAAAGTTGCGTGAGAAAGTTCGACAGGAGGATTGGCCACAACAACCGAAGCATAATTGTGGTTCGGATTCGGAGTAAGTATCTTTTATATGCACCCGGAATCTTTGGCTCATTCCTCGATATTGTTCAGGAAATTGCCGAAATGGTTTGCCCACGGGAGTGGACTGTTACTCGGAAATGGATTTCTATCTTTATTATTGGATTGTCATCTATGAGGCGTGGTAATACTCACTTGTAAGTTACTCGTAATTTATCCAAAAGAATTGTCATTAATTGATTTATTATAGAAGAGAGATGAGGACTGAAGCGGAGGATAGGTTGATAAGTTTGGGTGAAGATGACCAACGATTTTCGAATAATAAAGAGGAGAGACGCAGGAGGATAAGAGACTTGATAACTTTTTATCGAAATCTTTGAAAGGATATTGTGCGAGAGTGCAGGGGAAATCAGATTGATTAGCAGAGACTGTTGAGTTAATGGAGACTTATGAAAGTTATTTTTTCGAAACGGTTCACATAATTCATCTAGTACCGGTAATGCGAGTCTTCTAGGATAATTTCAAATCCGACAGGCGTGCATTAAGCAATGATGTGCTTTCCTAGACAGAACTTGGAACAATCGTGGAATTATCTTGGATATTAAGAGGCTCTGAAGCTTGAATTGGTTAAACCAATTTATGACTCTGAAAGCATATGTATATGTTTCATGAATTCCGTTCTCTATGGCGGTATTAAGCCTCATATGCGATAGTACAAGACATCGTATATCCGCAACTTTCCTCTGAGTTAACATAACTCCCACTTCTTAAACTCCGTGTTCAACCCCTTCTAAACATTGCGTTTACTGTGAAAATCCTGGTTATTACTCTGCATACGCTATCAAAAGTTATTATGCCAAAAGTTTGGCACAAGTAACTCCATTCTCCCATTTCACCTAGGTTTGTCAGAAGAAAAAACCAATAATTACTCTAAACTATTCGTATAATGAGTCTAGTTGTGTAAGATCTTTAGGGTACTATTCTTGTAACCTTGGTGTGTAGAGAGTAATGACCGTATCTCTTGTATTTTCTATGCGCAAGCCTCAATTTCACCAATTAGTAGAGCTTTTGTTGACGATATTATACAAGATGGTTGAGCCAATGAAATGTGGTGTAAAATATATATAAGATTAAACTAGTAGCAATACTTTTGGCAAGTTCTCAAGCAACGCTAACATTACTCTCAAGATAATTCTATTACTCCCCCCCTTTCAAATACGCCTTTCAACTACTATATCCTCCGCGAAATCCGTTCGATCCCCGGAACACCGTCTGAAAAGCACATATTTTGAGACAAGCATTTGGAAGTCAGACTGATTAAGTACTGGATTCAAGGGCGGGAAGCGAGTACTTAAACGTGCCAAAATATGGTATTTTCGACCATCTAGAACAAAGCATTTCCCAAAATACTTAATGAAATCCACTAACAAAATAGCAAGCACCCAAACATTTGACAGAATAAACAGGTATGTTACGCAATATGACCGACGTATAGAATACCACTAACAACCCTCAACAATAACCTTTCTCAACTCTCCCTTCTCATTTTCATACCCAACCAATTTTCCGCGGTCGTTCCCCCAATTCTCCCGTGTAAACCAAGAATCTCCAGTTCTTAGTCTCCCCTCGATACAGTACTTGAATGCCCATGTTACACCGAATACTAGCAACACACAAGGGATCACGATATATGCCGTGAGGACAACAATAACGATTGCTGCCCAGACCAGAGTGGCGAGAAAATATAATGCCCAATTTATGATAAAATTTCCGAACGGTTGGTTGGGAAGGTGAGCTAGGTTTGTCGCTGTTGTGTAGGCGGAGTCGATGCAAGCAGCTGTCGAGTTGAGGAATTTTTGGAGAGCATTCTTTTCGAGATAGACGAGGACCATTGGAAAAGACATTTTGATTGCCGGCGCGGAGGAGTAATCTGAGGTGGTGTTAGTGATTTGCCGAAGTCTTCCTCTGCGTGAAGATTGAATGGAGACGTACTTGAGGAAGTTGCAAAGATGATGCGATTGTGGCGTTGGTTCTGTTGTGTTTTTGAATAACGGCGATTTTGTTTGTGAGTATACAAGGTTTCACGTTCTGGAAGGATGTTTCTATCTCTTCAGTTTTTTTTACTACCTCGGTGGCCTAAAAATTCGGTCGTATCTTAGCTTCTTCTAGGTTTTGATAGATGTGCTGTTACGATTATAGTGACGCAACTTTAGGACCCACTCAACCTGTCTAGTAGAAGTAGTCCCCCTCCAAAGAAGTCAGGAGGCTCAAAAATATTTGTTGAATAGCGTTTTATCCGGATCGCGATAAAGACTTTCTAGACTTCTCGTTCTTTAACGTTCTTTGATATGGAAGTAGATATTTGCATTGGTACAAAATTTCCCCTCCACCTCCACCCCCAGTCACAGTAGGTTTGTTTTATTAACTGCCTTGACCCAACAGCCTCAAGAACCCAGAAGGAAATTTTAGTAACTAACGATCACTAGACGGACTTGGGACCATCTGAACCTACGTTTACCAACCACCTTGAAACAGTATTACTTGGAGGTTGCCCCACCTGCCTGCCGAGACTTTGCTATAGGCCTTTCAGACCAGTGATTTCCCTTGGGAGACTTCACCTTTGATTCTCTTTCCATCATGATAAAAAAAGAGTAAGAAACACTGTAGAACGTATTTTTGTGGAAGCTACGATATTCTATAAAAATCTCTGGATGTTGAAGTCATCTGAAAAGGATAAACGATCTTAGGATTAGCGCGTTTACGAGGGAGAGTGTTACCGGGGGAAAGCTCGAGATGCAGTGAAATTTTAATAAGGAACGAAATTAATACGTGAGGCCGAAGAAAATAAATACGAAAGCGCTTCAGCAGGAGTAAGAGTCCCTGTCGACTAATAAATGGTGTTTTGGATCTATTTCTTGTCACTAAAGTTAGTTCGTAGCCCACGAAAACCCTGGACTACCGCTGCGATACGTTGCTGCGTTTACAAGATCTGAATATAGCCCTTTCAAAAAATTATTTTATTGCAGCTGGTGTTCGCATTTAGGTTAGAATAAGATTGTTCTAAAAGCTTCGCGCAACTATATAAGTAGAAATGGGTTCAAATTGTTATTACTGTTCACTTCTTATAGATATATTTATACTAGCACAAGCAGGTTATAGTACTAGTACTACACCTTTACAATAGTATGATATTTTATACAGTGGGTATAGAGTATTCACCGCTTCTCTTACTAATGAATCCTCATCAAATACAGCCCTCAATCACTCATGGTGCTTTCTCTGATATACAAGAGACAGAAGAAGCTTCTAACCAAGAAATTCCCTACGTTGTATTCTTCCTCTGTGGGTCTCTGTTGGGCGCTTTTGTTACTTTTGGGAACTTGATTATATGGTTTCTAATAGTATAACTAGAGAGGGAGAAAAGTCATTACTAGGAAAAACTATTTTTTGAGAACGCTCTCCCTGTGAACAAGAAAATTGGCAGACCTCTTTTATCTTATCCTAACTTAATAAAAAGCTATTATACTATGTTATTCATTTGGAATAATTAAATTGATTTATCAAATATGCTAGTACAATAAAGGCGATTGTTCTAGGTATTTTAAACATTTTAATACTTAGAATTAACTCACGCTATTATTTCTTAAAAAAAAAAAGAACCTCTGTCACTTTTCTTGTCTACTGGGAAACAGTGTATTATAGTATCTAGTCACGTGACTATTGTCTTCACAAGGGCTGGGGTGATTTGTGAAGCACGTTGAAAACTACGGGGGTATACATTCCCTGATTTTGCTTACTGGCACCTTGAACATGACCACCCACTAGCACCAGTGGTGTGAGGTAAACATCTTTTTCTCTTGGTGGCAGATTGATGTGTGCTATGGTGACCCCGGATTTGCTGGTTTGACCAATTAGACTATTGCAATCGCCGTACAATATATTTGCGGAATACCATTATGGACGTCATCAACATGATAATCCATTTCATAATTGTGGCTTGTTACGGTGTGGAATAAGTGGGGTGGTGGGTGTGGAATGAGGAATGGAATGTGGCAAGTAAACATTACACAACATACAAATCTATATTAAGGTCTATGTTCCCTGCCTCTTACTGCTTCTCCACCACAACTGCCCTTACTGTTACTTGCTTTGTCGCCATAGTTGGTGCCACATGTAAACTAAAGGAGAAATAATCGTATTTGGAAATAGCTTCACTTTTTGCTTATTTGGGTATAGGGGACTGGCGAGGCGTTGCGATTTAATTACATGCTATGTTAGGTTGCTTTATTTACTTTCGTAGGCGAGGGGCGTGCTTTAATTGATAATCAATTCTAACTATTAATTTAAATCGCGAACAATTCGCATCCTAGAAGTGATCAAATAATACTGTCTATTCCACCATGCGTACCAATTGACGAATCACTGGTAGTGTTGATCAATTCGTCGATTTGAGGGTTACAATAGCACAGATGCATTAAGCGAGAAAAATGGGGCAGGCAATAGGATGTCCAACCATGTTTCCAGAAAGTGCAAGACCACAACAACAACACTAGAATCATTGATATCTCAGTTCACAAGTTGTTTTTATTTCTGCAAGGACTACTGATATTAATTATATCAATCTATTTGATGGTTACGCATGTGGTAGAAGGGGATTTTCTGAATATCAGGCCCAAAGAAACGAAATGCGAGTAAATTCAGCAAAAGAATGTACCAAAGATTGGTAGGAGTAGTAGTAAGATGAGAGAGGAAAGTGGACGAGAACATTTTTTTAATACCAGTGGTATCAAATTACACATTGTTTACACGAAGAGCCTTGGCATGAGTGTTGGTGAAGGTCGCTCCTTCCCAAAAAGTTTCTCGCGAGATTTTCCTTCTATACCCTCGACAATCAGCAGAAACTGAACCAAGCTTTTCCATCCATTTTACCACCTCCATGAATCTTTCTTTCATGTTCTTACTGGCCCTTCTTTCTACCCTGAAGGCGGCAATATAACTACAGGATGAGTACCGAAGACATCGACGATGGCTATGATGGGTCGGACGAATGGGGAGAGGACAACGAAGACGAACTCAAATTGCCTGAAAGGCTTCCCAGCGGCTCCGAAATGATTGAATATGAAACGCGTGTCCCCCCAATTCTTTACACTTTAGCAGAACACGATCATACACAAGGGTTTGGGTCTTTCGATTTTACACAAGCTGAGCACTTTGAAGCATTCAAGTTATGGAAGCCCAGGCGTGTAGGTGCATATTTGTCGCGGCCCGATCTGATTGGACCAGAAGAATCAAAATACAGCAACCGACATCTTATGACTGTTGAATACCAAAAGCTGCTCGCAAAGAAGAATGGGTACGTCTGCCTCTCAGCTGGGCAAGTGGTACGCCTAGTTAATACTGTGTCAGAAACCAGATCACGAAACCATTTCCCCTACTGGAACTTCCTTTGGAAATCAGAAAACCTTTCTTCTTTTGCCAATTCAACGACCTGACGACCAAGTGTTTGAACCTTCCATGGTCCCGCAAGGTATCCGATTTTATCTGAGCGTATCAGAATTGGATTCAGAGAATGACCGCGAAGAGGTCAACCACAAAAGTTCAAGAATACCAACATCACTATATTCAGACAAGGAGTCTGACACAAGAGACGATGTTTTGTCGGAAATTGATACCGATTCTGGTGTTCGGGACGACTTTGACTGGGACGAGTTTGATTTTGGGGACTCGGATGTAAGCGAAGAAAATGAGTCGGAAGTTGATAGCGATACTGATAGTTGGAGCGACTCCTTTGGTTACAAACTTGAAATACGCTGCATAAGAGTTTGTATCGGGGGTAAGCGTACGATGGCTTGTCCTCGCCATCCATTTGCGGAGAAGGGGTCTAGCCACCTTTTCCCCTGCGATTGTACACTCCAAGAATTCGCAGACTACGCCTTTATTAGACGCCTTTCACACGTCAGCCATCAAGTTTCGCGCGAGGTTGGTACCGTCATATGGCAAAATGCAGTACTTGAGGTTGATGAGCTCTATGCCTTGCCCGCTTTCGCCAGGCACCATCCCGCAGCTTTGCCACATATTCGAGGACTGGTACTTCCACTGAGATATATGAAATGGCATACGGATACGCAAACAGAGGACCTTTCTGCAGCATGCGAATTCATTCGTCGATATTTAACGTTGACCTTTCTCTCAGTCAACTTTCAAAGCATGCCACATCTTCTTAGTGGAGTTCTTAAGGGAAGAAGGAAGCGGAAGTGGACCCAGATGCTGAGGAAATGGAAGCTCAGCTTTGAATTCCACATCATTGTAGCACTAAGTGGCCGCGGTAACATGAAGCCTCCCAGAGGCTCGGTGGAGCGTCTTCGAGCTCTTTGGTTGCCGAAATGTCTGGCGAATGGCACGGAATTAGAGGAATATTATGATCTCTGGGACAGGAAGAATACTGCAAAGGAAAGAAAGCGGTTCCATATATACGGGATGTACGGGACGAGGGAAACGGAAGGCAGTTACCAATTGCGTGTTGTTGAGTGTAACAAGCTAGGCTTGCAGCAAAGTAGCCCTACGAGCAAAAGGCATTTTGAGGTGGACGGAAATGTACTTGGAATGGAGAACATAGAGAAAGAGGTGTTGGAAAGTGAGGACTACTAGTAGGTTCATCAAGGATAAATGCAGCTTAGAGAAAGACAGAGCTTTGTTTTGATAGCATGCGACTTTCTCTTTCGAAAAGAAACAATGATATTTACAGTAAATCACGGAAGAGCCACGAAAGAACCGTCCATTCAAAGACAAAAGAATAGAATCAATCCTCGAATTAGACAAAGCAGATCCTACTTCATCCACAACAATACACCTAACTGCCATCCTCCCATGCTCAAATTCTCACGACCTCCTATGCTTAAAAACACCATGACATCCCATCTCCAGCCCCTAAAAAGTCCACTCCCTATGTACATCCGGCTGACTATCACAACCAATAGTGCCAGGATGATACGTCGCAATATGATTATACGATCCATCCCCATTCCACAACGCAAAAGAAGCGGTTCCGCATGCTCGGAGCTTTATTGTAAAACCCATCAGCCTCTCTCTTCGCTTGTTCATTTCCACCTTACGCACTTCATTACGCCATCGCTTCATAATGCAGATATAGACAATAACTTGCTGCTACGAAACAGCATGGGAATGAAATATACGTAAACGAACCTGATAACTATAGCCATTCCTCAACCAGAAATTTTTATCACAGGGATCATTCCCCACATTGGTAATCTCTGCGCTGCTGGCACATGGGTTATCGCCTGAGATCCAGGCTACTTTGTAGTTCCCCTGTGTGCCGAAGTCGATTGTTGTGCGTGCGAGCGTGGCGAGGGTGATGGTGAGAGCGGTGGGGATGTGCATTTTAGGGATTTGGGGGAGTGGTGTAGTATTTACAAAGGGGTTTGGGTGATGGGGAGAGCTGAGAATGGCGCTGAATATATGTTAAGGAATTGAAGAGATTGAAAGTTGGGAAGCGGAAAGTGAGAGTTATTCTCTACTTTATGCCTCAGTATTTTTTTTTGTGGTATTGCTACTTGGTTGATTAAGGACGTACTGACTGCCGCATGACTGGTGCTTTTGGGTTGTCCAATGCCAGCCAAAGTCAGACAGCAAAGTGATCGAGTCCAATCATGTAATCTCAATATCGTCATATCCAGCAATTTCACCTTTGCGATGTATCGTAGCACAGCATATTCTCAAAGCTTACATTCAGTATTACTACAAGCGAACACATATCCTGTGTGAGATGGGGGGAAGCACAAAACTCTCACTTACACAGAAAGGGTCAACAACAGTGTACATTTGTATGATATCCTTCTACTCTAAAATGAAAAGGCTATCTTCCTTGAAGGAAAGAACTGCAACCCTTTATGGCTCTATATCATCGTGACGAAAGAGTAGTACATCTGAGACATCGTTACTTTCCTTCTCACACTTACCCGATAGTTTCGTGGTACGTATTACACACCGTCGTACATCTTACCCCATATGTTCCCCAAACACCGTTCATGGATCAGATGCATTGCATTGCATCGTACCTGTCACATATCCCTATCCTCACTGGGCCATAATGTGCTAGCTCGCTTCTCCCTCAGAGGACTCTTTTCTGCTTGTATTTGCACTACCTCGAATTACTATGTTGTAAGAAATAAGTTAGGAAAATAGAACGCAAAATTTACATTACGTGAAACATAACATCAACGTCCACTCGATGGTCTATATTGTAAGAATATCCCCACTCAAAGAAAAGACTGGAATATTCTTACGCGAAGACTAGAAGTATATCCTTGGCGTTCAATCCTCGTCTCTCCTAAATCCTTATGGTCAGACGTAGAGACTGAAATCAGTAACCGACCAATCAGAACATCAACAAGCTCTAAATCGAACCCCTTTTCTACACACCAAGGCTAGCCGCCGAGGCATCTTACTGATGCTGCCGGTGTAGGACAAACTTGTGATGGCAGTCCCGATTCAATGGCTAAACAAGAGCTTAAATACGTGGACGTAGAAGCCATGTGACTTTGATAGCCGAGCTCGTTCCCTAATACTAAGATCTCGGTATACTTATACTATAAGTCAAACTTTGGGACTGAAAAGAATAACTAACCAACTAGAGAATTAATCAACTTTATATCAAGTCTCCCTTTTCTTATGAATCCTAAGAGTAGCCGCCGAGGTGTCTTCCTGATGCTGCCGGTGTAGGATAAAATTGTGTTGGTACTCTTGCTTCGATTAGATCGCCAAAAAGGAGCTTAGGTACGTGGACGTAGAAGCCATGTGACTTTTATGGTCGAGTTCGTTCCTCGATACAGAATTTTGATAATTTATACACAGAGGCTAATATTAGTACCGCTACTGCTCAGAAGGGAATTGATGGTGGTAGTGGTACCATCTTGGGATGGAATTGTGATGGTACCCTCGCTTTGGTAGTTCAACAACAGCTTAAAAGAAAGGTGCACATCACTTTCATAAGACTTACGTGGACGTGGAAGCCATGTGACTTTGATAGCCGAGTTCGTTCCTCAATACGGAATTTGGGTGTCTTGATAAGTCAAACGGGGGAACTGAAACGAACAAGCAACCAATCAGCACATTAGCAAGCACCAATGTGGATTCCTTTTCAACAACTCGAAACCAAGCGCAGACGCGTGCTCTAGTACTATTACCTGTTGTCAGAATTATACTGACCAGTGGTCTTCAACTTTCCACCGCACGGAAAGTGCATGAAATGGAACAATGGAACACAAAGGAGGGGCATATACCAGGGATATATAAGCCAGGGCCTAGGCTCCCGTCTACGGTGGTTATCTCCCTAGTTATTTGAATGTAACTCTTCTGGCACCCTGGCGTTCCATATTCCTAGTGCTTTTCCCTGCTTGGCCCTTAGGGGAATTGTAACACTCCTCCAGCTAGAGCCAAACAGCAACGAGCTTTACTCTTCAAACAAGTGATTATTGGAAAGATCGATATTACTTTATCTATGACGGATATAGATATTATATAATCTCCAACTGACTTTCAGCAAAGGACCATTCTAAGGTTTTCGACTACTTAAGTATTTCGAGGAATCTGCGTGAGGTTACGATATTACCTGAATGCACACTTTGACTATTAAATGTCAATGGCTCGTTCCTCTCAAAGGTAAGAGAATATTCTCTCTTTGCGAATAACCTAATCAGTATTTTGCTCAGGCATGATGTTTTATTGTAGCTTTTGTATGTTGTATGTACGGGGAATAGGGGTTTATCTTTTCCTCGCTAAAAGTCTAACCGAGTTAGGGTTCAGGATATAAATAACACGACACGACAAGAAGTTTAGAGAGATATTCTTTGATGTAGTTAGTAGTGGGGTGGTCGTGTAAACAATTTGGGGAAGTTTGGATAGTATCATCATTTCCTATACAAGTTAATAAGTGATGAGCCACTCTCCGGCCCTCTTCCCAAACATCGAGTAATTGAAACATTATCATTAATACCCAAGAAGGGTACATCTACCGAAACCATAAAAGCTCCCAATCCCTCTATTCAATCCTCGTCCTCCACCTTAACAACCACACCCCCCCTCTCCACCTCCACCACGCCCCTTCCCTTCCCAACCACAGTCTCAGCAAGCACCACCGTCTCCCCCCCAAGATCCGCCTCCTCCCCCATCGGCAGACTCTCAACATCAACCTCCATGCCAAGCAAGCATCTCAGAATAACCTCTCCACCAACCTTACAAAGGACCTCATTCCCATGTCTACAACCCTCAGAAGCAACACACTCCAAACAACCCCCCCTCGCGCCCTCCGTCTCAACACAACATCCACATCCCTCGATCCTACGCACCGCCTGCTTCAGCAAAAGGTTGACGAATTCAAAAGCCTTGGTGCTGATTCCGGACCCAGAGGCGCCTCCTTTGGCGTCGTAGAAGGTGAGTCGTGCGGGACGTTTACGCGTGCTCTCTTTGGCGGCGAATTCCTTCTGCGCGAGTTTACACTCCGTCCTCACATCGCCGGGGGAAGAAATAACAAAGTTGGGCATGAGACTCAGGACCGCGTGTTCGGCTGCATGAATAGCACCAGCGACATTAAGACGTTTCTCGACGAGGATATCGAGGGCGAGTTTCGGGACGTCGAGCCACATGCCTTTACTATACAGTACGATCGGTGGATTATCGACTTGCACCGCATCCAGGATGCGGCGCTTCTTGTCGAGTTTGAAGAAGCCGTAGACGTTTTGCTGGATCCGGATTTTGCCGTAGAAGGCGCGGGAGAGGGAGGTGGGGATGCGGTAGATCATTTCCGTCTCGATGGGGTCGATGTCTGTGTAATCCCTTTGCTGTGTTGTCCAGTCGACTCGCACACGTTCGACCTTGGCGATCTTTCGATCGGGAAGGAATTCTTTGACGAGGTAGGTGGTTCCTTGGTGTAGGAAGATGCCCCCGTCGTAGAGAGTGAAGAAGGCGCGGGAGGCCTCTAGTTCTTCGAGGATGGTGTTTAGGCCGTGAGTGGTGTCTACGATTGCGAAGTGGTCTTCTTCTGTGTCTCTGATGGCGACCAGTTTCGAGGGGTAGGGACGAAAGCGATCGTTGCAATGGTAGAAGCCTAGATCGTCTTTGACCATTCTTTCTTCGGCTATTTCGGAGAGGTTCTTGGGGAAGTAGATGGCGTCTTCGTCGACTCGGATGGGCATCTCGAAAGCTGCGCACTGGACATGGCCTTCTAGTACTAACATATTCTGGAGATCGACTTGGAGCTGGGAATTGGGTTTTGTAAATATCTCGTCTGGAGTTTGCATATAATGCTGATCGGTTGGAAAACAATCTCCAATAAGAACAGAGAGGGAATCCTTATTTCTCCTTCCAGCTCGTCCACTCTGTTGTCTCAAATTGGCAATCGTATATGGGAAGCCAACCGTAATGACCGCATCCAAAGACCCAATATCAACACCAAGTTCCAATGCCGTAGTAGCAATAATACCCATAAGCTTCCCCTCAAACATCTCACTCTCAATGCGTCGTCGGTCTTGTGGTGTATATCCCCCTCTATACCCCATAACCCTCGCCATACAATCCGCCCTTTGCAGGGTAGAAAGCTCCTGCTTCACAGCCCCAACAAGAGCCTCACACGACTTCCTAACCCGACAAAAGGCAATCACTCTTACCCCCCTCAATATCAACTGACAGAACAACCGTGCCGCCTCCCCAATAGTATCCCCCCTCCCACTCGTCGGATCCCCCGGATCCTTAAACGGCGTATTCCAACAAAGGAACTCCTTCCTCCCGGACGGGGACCCATCAAAATCCGTCATCTTCACATCCTCAAGTCCAAAAATGGTCTTAAAATGATCTTCGGGATTCGCAACCGTGGCAGAGCAGGAGATAAACTTGACATTTCGGTTTCCCACCGCTGCACAGATACGTCTCAGTCTTCGCATGATGAACGCCACGTGCGAGCCGAAAAGGCCGTTGTAGACGTGGATTTCGTCCATGACTACGAATTTGAGGTTCTGAAGAAAAGTCCGCCATTTCTCTTCGTTTGGGAGGATGGTGAGATGAAGCATGTCGGGGTTGGTAAAGATTATTCGGCCTTCGTCTCGAATTAGGTTGCGGTCTTTCATGGCTGTGTCTCCATCGAAGGTTTCGACGATGGTTTCCTCAAGCCCAGTCATGAAGCGCATCATCTCTTTCAAACTTCTTCGTTGATCTTGAGCAAGAGCTTTGGTGGGAAATATGTACATTGCTCTCGTATTGTGATCCCTTTCCAGCTCGTGTAATACCGGAATCTGATAGATCAATGATTTTCCAGAGCTGGTAGATGTCGCTACAATAACATGATGGCCATCATGAAGATTATTGATAGCTTCCGCTTGATGTGCGTAGAACTGCGTGATATTCTGGGTGTTATAAAGTGCATTAACCAAATCCTGACTGAGCTGGAAATTCAAATCTCCATAAATCGCCTCCTGGGGATCAAAAACACGATGGCCATCCGGAACAATCTGACCTGTATACCACTCACTCTCCTTCAACTCCGTCACGATCTCTGCCACAGACTTTCTCTCCTTCGGTATCGTCTTGGGCAGGATACTGAAATCCGGTTTCGGCGTCGAACTTCTAGAACGGGTAGGCACAGGAACAAACCCCTCCGCTTCCTTCTCAAGAGTCGCCTCCGGATCCAAATTCTCAGCCTCACACCGATTAAGAAACGCATTAACCGCCCATCCAAACTTCGTATTCCTCTTCTCAATCAACCCCATCATCTGCTGCTGACTAAAAACCGGCATCTTCAACTCCTCATCCCTCAACTTCCGATTCGGCCCCGTCGGCTCCCCCGTTTTCTTGCTCGCAACCTGCCTCTTCAAATCCCCATCCACAAACTCAAAATACAACACCTCCTTCCCCTCCCCTTCTTGCTCCCCAAGCCTCTGCGTCCCCGTAAGACCCCCTACACTAGCATCCGCCGCAGGGCCCTGCGAAAACCAATCCCCCTTCCTAGACTTGAATGTCTCGTCTCGCTCCGCGCCTTTGACGTCAATCATCAACATTGCCTCATCCACATAACTGAAATTGATCCCGGATGGTCGTAGAGCTACGATTTTAGCTATATCTTCTACTGACAGGTCTTTCTTGATATGGCTTTCTACCGCGGTTTTGATGGTGTCAAAGGTTGTGATGACGTGTTTCCGTGTGGAGCAGAAGGTGTATACCAGATTCAACGCTCTATGCGTCTTCTCCCACGCCACGAACGAGGAGGGCCAGGGGATGGTGGTAGTTACTGCATTTGAAGACGTTGAAGATGTCGACGATGAGCGGGAGAGTGTAGGTCTAGTAGCCTTTGACTTAGAAACCCGTTTAGGTTTCGTACCCCCATCGTGAGTTTTAGTGGGGAGGGTTTGTGTCGGCGTATTTTTGGATGGAGGGACGGACTCGGTGGTTTCTTCTGGGGAGTTGGCAGTGTCCTTTCTTTTACGTTTTCGGACGATGCGATTGGAGACTGTAGCAGCTTGGAGTGGCATTTTCGCCGTTCTAATTGAGGGTTGTGTTACATTTGTGTTTTTGCTGGTTCTCTTTCAATTGATGTTGAGGAGCGATGATGACATCGATATTCTCCCGCGGCCGCGTCGTGAAACACGTAATCACATGATCGTGCAAAGTGGAATTTGACCACGGCCTGCAAGTGAGGATTAAGACTGGGCGTATTGAGAAACAGGCGTCTTACGAATTCTATTACATGGTCACCTGGTGAGTCTTCTATCTTAATGAGTAAATTAATAATATATATAGATCATTCGGGGTAGTGAAAAGCAGGAATTCTATTCTCTTAGCAACGTCCATGCAAATCCGCATTCACAGTACCAAGTAATAATCCGAATAAATATTAAATAGTACAGTAGCTCGCTCGTTACAATATCAGTCTACCAGACAATGGAAATTAGGCGTTACTCGAGCCTCGATGATAAACATAGAACCGTCTCACTCCATCAGAGCAAGACTTTGGTCACGATAAAAATAATTTTTGATTATGAAAGGGACATGTATGTTCCATACCATCATAACTTCATTGTGTCCTCCCAGGAAAAATGCCCACGCCAGGGATGCTAGCTAGTATATAATAATATAACTCAAAAGAAAGAAGAAAACACGCAACAGGAAACCCAGATGCAATATTCATATCCATATCCATGTCATCAAATAGAGAACACGCTAACGCCATCAATGCAAATTCACAATGATATCTCTAAAAGAAAAAACCCCCGCTTGCTTGCTTGCTTTTTTGAACAAAAAAATTTGCTTGCTTTCCAACCTTCAAACTCCCTAATGCAATATCTCTTCGCAAGTAATATCCTGATTCCACGTCGTATGCAATCGGTGATGAGAGGAGAGTGATCCAACTACCAATCCACCGCCCATCCATTATTCTCCAGGTACTCCTCGCACGCAGCTTTCAAAGCGAGATTAGGTCGGAGATCCTGGACTCGGAGTGGTTCTCGGGTAAGAGGGTCGGTGGGACTGCGTTTGAGGTGTTCCATAATGGAGGAGCGATCGTATGATTGTCCGGTTTTGGTCTGTTTTATCAGCTTTGTGCCCCCGAAATTTCCAAAATGAGTAAGATGAAGTGAGAAAGAAAGACATACCACGACCGGATCAAACATCACACTAAAAGTAATATCATCCACCACCCAATCAGGAACCTTCTTCTTCCTCTCCATCTCATTCCCAATCTTCGCCATCTCAAAGGTACTCTTCAGCTCTTCAATCTTAATCTCATACTCCCTCGTCAAATCTGTCACCTCATCTCCTCTTCCCTCGGTGACCAGTTCTTTCTCTTCCTTTTCGCATTCCCTCCGTAATAGCTCGATCAATTCCTTATTCAATCCATCTCTACCCCTCTCCCTCGCCTTCTCTCTCTTCTCCCAACCCTCTTTCTTGCAACGCAACACCAACTCTGTAATAACCGTGATACTGCTTCCCCCCTTACCTCCACTATGAATCTCCTTGACGCACAGCTCGTGAGCTTTCTTCGCAGACGACAGGGCTTCGCCGGGATGATCGAGTGCGATTTGGGCTTGCGCAAGATTATAAAATGCTTTCATATTTTCAGGTTGCAGGTCGATGGCTTGTACCGAGTCGTCGATTACTATTTGCCAGTCTTGAAGCTTGATACATGCAGTTGCGCGATTGGTGAAAAAGGCTGGGTTGGTGGGGTCGTAACTTATTCTATATACCAGATCTATTAGCTTTGAACTTCAACTTCGTTGCTATAAAAGCGCCAACTAATAGAATTAGTTGTAAGAAAAAGGAGGAGTGGTGCAAGCCAGCCAGTAGCCCTCATCCGATCGTTGATAGAGTGAAAGCAGGAGAAACATAAACATACGCTTGCGTATAGAATGAATGCGCACCCTTGAAATCCCCACTCTGGAAGCACCGATTCCCCTTCTCCTTATACTCCAGCGCCTTCGTCGGATCGCGCGACTGGGGTCCATCATCCTTCGCCATATCTGTCTCAGCAACCCCAGAGTATTGGGATGGGCAGTGCGATTTTATAACTGCGATCAGTTTCGTTGTATGTACTCTGTACGAGTATGTATGTCGGCGCTGCAGGGGCTGAGGGCAGACAGGACCCAATAGTTGGTAAAGTGAGAACCCTGAAGGCCCGTCCTTATCTGTTTATCGGCTGCACTACCTATGATCGGGACAGTAAGACAGAAGCGACAAGCCAGCACGTAATAGCTAATTTCAAGTGAGGAGACCTGGACAGGTCAAGGTCTTTGTTGCGGGGGGTGCACTCAGCCTCATTGCCTCCGCAAAGCCAGTGGGATATATCCGTATAATGTTCAGCAATTCATTAACAGCAACGTAGTTAAACAAATGCGGCAATAACAGAAGGGAAAACTAATTGAAATCCGATGACTCATTTGGGATACTTGTGACTTTTCACACGCTGCTGTGAATCGGAAAGGGGAACATGTTACTTATTGGACTGGTTCGGGGTTGTCAGCCTTGTCGGAACTGATTGGTAAAGGGTGTGGAAAGTTCTGGAAGAGGGGCGGGGTACCTAGCCGATCCTACCCATCCGAGTCAGGGGTAACTTCTTCAGCAAGTACCTCATGAACACTTTATGACAAAATAAACACGAACAATATATATGCCCTAAATGGAACAGTAGCCATTCAGTCAAAACAAATTTATAGATCAAAACCATCACTTTTCACGAAAGATTGCTATAATCCTAACCTACAGTACCTCTTTATCCTTAACATCAAAGAACCATTAACAAAATAACCTTTAGCCTAGCCCCTAGTACAATATAACTTTAATTCTTACCTATATCAGGTACTTATTTACGGCCGTCGTTCGGTAATAGAAGAAGACTACCTACCTACGGAGTAGGTACTTTTCACAAGACACTTGACTACTTTAACCAAGTGTTTATCCTCTTCCTTACCTATAGGTACCTACCTAACAACCTCTCCATAGACAACAGGGAAGGTCAAAATATCCCCTTAGCCTATTGCCATCCAGTACAATCCCTCCACCTCACATGCCTCCCTCCAAAATGCATAGGAACAATAAAAATCCCATCCCGTAACCACAAGTAAACATCCCATCTCTGAATCCCTTCTGCCCACCTCCCATCCACAACTTTCTACACCATCTACTCTCCCCAAATAAACTCACACAAAAGAACCCCTCCACAAACCACAAAACCAACATTCTCTCCCACCAATCCCCAATCCCCAACTCCCACCATCAAGCACCCCACATCCCCAGAAAAAACACAAGCTCATACATATTTCCAGTAGTCCGACCGCCCTCACACCCAACCCATCCCAGAAACAAGACAAGAGCATCATCACCACCCCTCTCATTCCTCCTCTCACAGGTCCCGTACTTCTCCGATACCACCCCAACAATCCAATCCATCTCAAAAGCCTCGAATCAACGCCTACAATATACGTAGAACGTAGTAAGTCTCACGTAGTATGAGTACACTCAGCTCAAATCATCTCAAAGAACCAGATTCCGTGGAAGAATATTCTTTTCAGTGCAGAGAATTTTCTTTCCATTGGATGTCCAGTCTCGCAGTTGGGTAGTATTGATACTTTGCTGAATCAATTTCTTTTAGTGCCCGCGAAATCTGCCCAGGATGTGTATTTGCCCTGGTACTACAGGGGAGGTGTTGAGGGGGTCGGCGTGCGATTTGGGGAGGGGTTGTTTGTAAGGTTAGGTGGTAAGTAAGCTGTTAAGGGGGTAAGATTGGATTCAAAGTCCTTGAGGGATACCTATGGAACTTTTACAAGTGGTGGACGAAATCGAAGAAAAAACTCTGTGGATAAGAATAGAAAGCAAGGAGCCGTTTAGCAAGGATGTTTTTTTGTTTTGGACAAAATGGAAAAAAGTGGTTGGTCTATTTCATGCTCTCTTTTGTACAATATTCTTGGCTGCTGTTGATAGCCAAGGTTCCTTCTATCCCATCCGTTCGTATTGTTCTCCACAGGGCGGCGTTGGTGATTTAAAAGGGCTGTTTCATTGGTTAGCTTCGGATCGATAATTCAACGTGACACAGCCTGGGTTTTGTAGTAGGTGCCCTCGGAAAATTCGAGTTCTATTTCGCAGAAGAATTATAGCACGGAACGCAGTCATTACGTATTTGATGAGTATATCGCCACAGCTGCAGTCCTCGGGGAAATAGTTCGAGTATAAAGAGGGAAGGGCAAAACGTACGTTGTCGGAAGCAGGAATTTCTTTTCGGAAGTGGCTCCCAATGATTGGGATTTTCTGTTGTGTTGTTAGCGGTGGATCGCTACAAAAAGAAGGTTGCCACTTACAACCATGATATCATTTCGTACTCGTGGGATATCGGAGAAGAAGTAAAGAGCAAAGAATCCAGCAACACCACCGAAAGCGCCCAAAGTCGTGCCTCTGCTTGGAAGTTAGTATACCCGTTTGCCAATTTCTAATCCCATTCCATCTGTGAAAGGCGTTTCTAGCGCATGCGCAAAACATCCCAGACATCGAAATCGCAAATCGAATCCGGGTTTCCTTGGGGGCAGACATACAATTTAACAGCACTCTTAATCGTCCATCCAGCAATATGTGGCTGGACCTTGTATCTGCCGTTCATCAGCACTATTCCCCTCTTCCCCTCCTTCCCTCCAGGCATGCGACGTACTTTGGACCATAGGGCGATTTGTAGGTAGAGTAAGAAACTGGTCCTTTTGGAGGCAGAACGCCGGTCGAGGGATGTGCCTGTATGCGCTGGTCAGTAAGAGATCTTCTGAGAAAGGCAGAATTTGTAGCCTATGCGTACTTCGCCAGTCATGGTTGTGAATTGCGGATTTGAGGTGGCAAGTCGTTTCAATTGACGTGTTTGCGAGGGAGGTCGTCGGCGATGGAATTTACCAAGTTCGGAGCTTACCGGGATTGGATGTCACGTGGTGGGTATGACTTTCTAAGTGATGCTGATTGGCCAGAACTTCACTTATAACTCTCTCCCCTACCTACTTGTTGCTACTTACATTTCTCAGTTCATTCTTACCTAATGGATTATTCTTCACTATTTTCCTGGAATTATATCTTTACCTCTATAACACGTCAAATGAGTCAAGTTATGTATTTCCGGATGTTCTCTCGTCTTCGGCTTTTGGAACTGTGGTGTCGAAAACAGCGAAGCCGCATTTGGGACGAGACGTCAGAGTCTAGATTTAGGTATGACGATTTGCTGTCAACTGAACTTGGTACTCCATGATACCAGTACTGTGCAGTTATCAGGTCTGGAGATATGGCCGTCGCACTCTCACTCACTATCAAGATACTGCACTTGGTGGTCTCCGTGCCTGCTTGAAGCGGCATTTAACCTGCAAAGAAGCAGCTCATCGCGCCGCATATTCGCACAAGGGTGGTGGGATGCAGTATCTTATTGGCACCTCCCTTTCGGAGGCTGAATCATGATTTCTTTTAGATGACCTGCCACTTCATGTCCAGCTCATGCTGCATACTGACTCGACTTGATACCGATCCGAAATCGAGGGTGAAAATTATCAAATAAAATGCCTCATAGAAAGTGATTGTTGGTTTTCACATGGTGCCGTCATCTGCTTCTGCTTCGCTTTCCCTCGGAATAGTTTGCAGAGTGCAGAGCTCCCTTTGTCCTTCCGACTGTAGCTAGGTATACATCCCAATGTCCGGGACAGCCCTCCAGCCTTCCATCCCAACTTTCCGTCACTCCGCATGTGAATCCTGCTAGCGTCGTCCGCTTAACTTCTGGTGGCTTCTGATTCGCTACCTGCGCCCCACTTTTCCAAACGTTCCTAATCGTGCCGCATTATCGGACATCTGCCCTCGCTTGGCCTTTCTTCACCAGGGCCACCAGCCCAGGCCAGGGCACCATCACAACATCCCAAGAATTGCCTTGGTTGAAGCTGCCCTGCGATTCCTGCCTGCTTTGCAACCATCAACCACAATACCACCATCCCACCTCAGTTGTCTCCGGCAAACCAAGACATTTATATCTAATCCTGCCCGCACATCAAACACCCCACGAAATACCCCAATACCCCGCTTCATTTCCAGCCTACCTACCCGCCTGGCCCGCCCTGTCACACCGCAAACAGCTGCGTGCAAGAGCTCACGTCGAGTAGGATCATTGACGACACCATAACAAGGAGTTCATTGTATCACTCCACACACTTCTGGCCGAGTAAGGACAAAGCCTGGGGAAACTTTTAGAAAGGTCCGATCACGACAGCGAGATCCAGGGGCGTACAGGCAATAAAAACAAAGTTGAGCAAAGGGAGGAAACATCTCATACCTTGACGGAACAAGAGGATTGTGGCTTGACTTGGGGATCGAAACAAGAAAAGGCGAACGCCAACCTCTTCTCTGTTAGTCTTCTCTGTTATCAGACGCTCCGATCATCACCAGTACTCGACCTCGAGGGATTTTAACCAACTCCTCCCCCTCAATCACTTCCCCGAAATTAGTACCGCAACACCAAAAAATGTCATCACAACGAGGCTTCCCCTTCCTGGGCGGATTCTTCGGCGCCTTCAAGACTCCTCGCGCAATCCAAACAACAAGCAAAGCCGCCTCCACAGTAACCTCAACCTCAACCTCGACATCCCCTTCACAAACCCACTCCTCGCCCTCCCAACCCCGCTCTATAACCACAACCACAACCTCAAAAGGCAGCACGAGTTCCGCCCTCTCCGCTCTCCACTCACCTCGAGCACAGGGTGCATCGCCGTTATCACGATCCCCAGGTCCTGACTCACAAAAGACGGCATCGAGATATGTGGCTGGAAAAACGAACAGAAGGGGGAGTGATAGTAGCAGCGAGGGATTCAGAGATGTTCTGGGACAGGAGAAGTGGTATGTGGGTGGCAAGACAGCATCAGGAGAAGAGCGATATTTCAAACTGGGAGTAGTGAGACGGCAGAGGAGTGGTGATCGGTTGAGTTTGGATCAGCTTAGTTTGTGACAAGCAAAGAAAAGCATACATATGAAGTAATTCACGATTTTACGGTCAAGCAACAAGATTGTTTTGGTGCTGCACACCACGCCACGATTTAGCGTTGCGGTTCAGAGCTTGGAGTCTTTCTAGGGCTTTGGGGTTCTTGGAGTTGAATGATTGGGTCGGATAATAGTCGGTGAGAGGAAACCATATTGGGAATTGTACATAGACATATACATAAACCTCCACTCGCCCACCCACATCTTTCTAGATTATATCGTCTTTCAAATGAGGATTCAACTCATTATACAAAAAACACGCTTTATTTTTATCCCATCTCCGAGTTCCCACATTGGTCGCTTTGTGGCAGGATTGAGTCGCTATAGCTGAGCCATGACCTTCGCCCTCCGAGCCTAGACTAATACAACCTCCCATGCCAACATCGGATGTATCTAGGACCCCGCCGTCTCACGATAGGAATCCGGCGTCAGGCTATGAGATGATTCAGGAATTATAAGTCTACAAACAGAACGGGAGTAAAAGCAGATTTTTTGTACGTTTAGAAGACGTCTTGGGAGGGGCCGGGGTGGAGGATACCACATCCGGTTCCCCTTTTTTTCCTTCTTTGCTTTTTGATACCTTGAAGATGAAACATGGGTATGGGGAGGGAGATGGGAAAGGAGATGGAGGGTTGGTTGGTTAGCTGGGTAGGATGAACAATAGATAGTCTTGTTACGGGAGGTCGTGAGGGGGTTGTTTTATGTATGTATGTATGTAGAGGATATGATATGATATGATATGATGTAGATAGAATATTGATTTTTTGGTCCTTGTATGGCCCCATCAATCTCTTGGATTCGAACGCAAACTTTCCATTTACCCTTATGAATAATATTACACACATCCACATTCACCCCATCCCTTTTTGTTCCGAACTGGTGTGGTGTCATCACCACATAAACCTCTGCACCTTCCCCGGTTCCTGCACCCACTCGAAACCACGGTACAGGAACATATACCCCGTTCCCGCGTTGATAGCTAGGAACCAGAGGGTTTCTAGACACAGATATTGTCTTGTGATGCCGGATCTCTTCCCAGGTGAGTTTTCGGGGGTTTGTGTGGTGGTTGATGGTGATGATGGGCTGCTCGTGGATGTGGAGGATGGGATGTTCAGTCGGTAGAATACCCATGGGAGGATGAAATACCTCGGTTCCACCAGTGGCGCGGTGATCAAGGAGAGGATCGCTGGGAGGAGGATGAGGAGGAGTGTTGAGATCTTGGGGTTATTGTTGTTGGAATCTTGTGCTGCTTTGGTTGATTTTGCTGAACCCTTTTTAACCCTATTCTGAGGGGCATTTGGAGCTGTGGATGAGGAAGTACCGAGTAAACTCCCCCATACTCCCCATCCACACAGCATATACACAGGCGCTAATGCGTACCGCATCCACCAGTAGCGAAGGATAGTATACCGGAAGACGTAGAAGATGTAGTGTCTGTTGTCGGCTAGTGTGAAGGGGTGGATTATTGTGTTGTAGTGGATTGGTACTAGACTTGCGGCGGATGAGAGGATGAGGTAGAGGGGGAGGTAGGGTGCGAGGGTGCGGGGGTTGAAGAGCGAGGTTAGGAGGAAGGGGAGGATGAGGGGGATGGAGAAGAATGTTAGGAAGGGGAGGAGGTAGAGGAGTTGGGGGGTGTGGAGGGTGGGGAAGTGGTTGGATTTGTCGCCTGTGGGAGGGTGTTAGTTGAGTGGGTTTGATGGAGGAGAAAAGGGNGCAGAGGTAGAGGAGTTGGGGGGTGTGGAGGGTGGGGAAGTGGTTGGATTTGTCGCCTGTGGGAGGGTGTTAGTTGAGTGGGTTTGATGGAGGAGAAAAGGGGAAGTACCGAGAACTACACCCCCGTTCCAGAGGACGAAGAGGGCGAATGATAATAATAGAGATATGTAAGGCCATATTCGAGTAAGTATCAAAATCGGATGACACAAAACGGCAACCGCCAGTGAGATAGGCATGAGTATAAAATCTACCAAATCATCAGCATAAATCAACAACTCGTCCATTACAAGACCTACCAGCAAATCCAGCATCCCCCAACGGGATATCATGGATATCCCCTCTAGCCCACCTCCTCCAGACCGACTCCGCCGCACTAATGGGCGCAGGCGAAATATTCGCCTCCAGAGTCCGAATAGCTTCAGAAACACCGAGGAAAACGGCAACCCAGAAGATGTTCGTTTGTCGCATAGTCAAGGCTAACATTCCAACGAGGTAATTCATCCACAACCCCCTGCCAGAATTCTCTTTCTCACCAGAACGATTGAGGAAACATTGATATGCTAACAAGACACAGAGAGTAGAAGCTACATCTGTATAATACAGGCCGGAGAAGAAGAACAGAGGGGGAAAGAGGGCAATATTCAGCGCCGTGTGTACATTCTCCTTTCCGATGGTTGAGTTAGAGCGAGACGTCAGGTTTTGACGGATGTAGAAGGACAGAATCATGATACTGAGAAGTGATAGCACGTCGAAGAATCGCAGATTCCCTACTATGCATGCGCCTCTAGAGATCTTGAGGAGGAGCACGGAGAGCGCGTAGAGACCTGGGGGTGTGGTGAGTTTGGGGTCCCATATCTCATACTGAGATTGACAGTATGCTTGCGCTTGGGGGATGTGGAATATTTCGTCCTTCGCAAATATTAGTAACTTCTTTCATCATACATTAAGGAAGGACATACAAGGTACGGTTCTGGTACTATTCTGGTCACCTGACTCTGCCAGAATTGGGAGATGAAGAATAAAGCCAGTAGAGCTATCGTGAAGAGGAATTTATGGGGTACAAGAAGAATTCCGAAAGGCAGGACAACGATTATTAGCGATCCGAGAATTAAGACGGACTGGTTTGTCCATTCGAATGTTTTTGTCGACATGGTGAGGACAGGTTGTTATCGGTAATTCGAAGATCAGAAATGAGAAATTCCCCCCATGGATGAGGAACGTGGAAACGCGACGAATTACCTAAAATCGAAAATGAAAGGAGTGTGAGAACTGAATGTACAGTTTGGCCGTTTGTTGCCCTTCCGCTCTACTACTCTGTTGACTTGGGCAATAAAAGGAGATGAGAGTTGAGTTGGGGTCCCAATACACTGACGCCCCGGCGTCAGTTTAGAGCTGACTAAGCGCGGATTTTCACGCCCCCCCACCACCGAAATGCGCG